TAATTGCAACACATATTGCATGTTGATAGTCTATCACACTTTTGGGGAGTGCGAATTCTTTGGCCAATATTGTGCCACTCATTCCTCCAGCATGACCTATCAACTTGTGTGTGTATGTACATTTTGTCATATTTGGTTGAGTGTCATTTAAACACCGATCATATTCTGTTTATGATTCTTCCAGGTGTTAAACAACAATGAAGATTAAATTCTCTAAATCAAGGAGGAATATCATGTTTTAGTGTAGAATCTAAAACTTTATTCTATTTATAGTTCTTCCAAAGTGTTCCACAGCAATAAAGAATAAGTCCTCTCAATTAAAGAGGAATATGTTGCATCTATAACTCATTTGATACGGACTTTGGTCAAGTGTGTAGAATCTTTAGTTGAACTTCATAATTGTAGAGAGTTTAAAATAAACGTCGTCTAGTTACCTTAATTTTTGTTGCGAACACGAGAAATTGTAACAAAAAAAAAGTGGGTTTTCTTAGAATCACTCGTGCAAGTTTCCGTGCATGTAGCTTATTCGTGTTTTCCAAGGCACTGCCTGTGACTCGGCATGGGAGTGATGTCATGTTTTATTCGATTGTGAATGTTGGAAAATTGTTAGACAAATAAAATAACTTTTATGTATATATATATACCAAATACGTAATTTTCATGATTTTTGTCAACATATTTAAGTTCTATCGAATTAAACCAGACAAACCTAATCCAATCTTTTAACTCTCAACTCACGTTTTCGATGAGGCCAATAATCAGAACCGAGCTAACACTTGATCTCGAACCGGACCGGACCGGACCCAGCTTCAGCTGTGTCTTTGAAAGGGGACCCAAACAAAGTAAAAGCTACGAGGCAGGGAGTGAAGCTGAGCTGGCATCCACCTCTAATAATTTGACGGTTCTCTAAAGTAAGCAGCAAATCAAGGAGAATCCGCCAAACAGTCGGCAAGTCCGAATAGAACTCCTTCTGTACCGTCGACACGTGGAGCTTTGTCCTCTTAATCAACACGCGCCATTTGCGGCACCGAGGCCAATGGGAATAAATAAAACCACAATTAACGTGCGTGATAAGTACAAACACCGTATTTCAAGGAAACTTCAAAATGGTTTGATGAAGATCAAGAAGACAAGATATTTGGCCGCCTAATTTTTTTTATTATATGTAATTAATAAATAATTAATTAGTTAAGTGGTCTCCCTCCCATTCTCTTTGTCTTGATTCTGATACATGGTGGGCCCCAGTTTTTTTAGTTTTGGTTGGGTGCAGCCAGGTACACGCTAAGAACGCTGTTGGTTCGGCTGACTTTTCTTTCTTCCCTACACATCGCCATCTCTGAACATGTTCGATCATGATCTCCGAACCAAACCCAGCCCAAGATTCCCCGCTGTCCACGCCCAAAGTAAAATAAAGGCGCCACGTGCCCTTCATTTCTCTTGGCTTCTTCTTCGGCAGCTTCGCAGCATGTTCCTATGGTCGAATTTGCGCTCGAAGGAGGAGTGGTAAACAACCCACAGATTCAGAATCGATTAGTTTCGATAACTCGATTTGTTGGGAGATATGCAAAATATACTTTTAATATTTTCTTTGCATGTTCGGGTTAGAAACCAACCAAGGGAAAAATCAGAGTTACTGCTCTGGTTGAGTCGCGGACTAGGTAGATATGTTGAAGACGTTCGTGTCACTGTTTCGTATTTGACCACAACAACAGTCAATAAACCGGTCGCTTCCGAGGATAAAACAACAACTCTGTCTCTCTCTCTGTTTATGCGAAAGCTGGAACGATATGAAAGAGCGCTCTTTTTCCTTGTTTCTTTTTTCTGCAATGTGGGGGTTTAGAGGGTATGAGAGGGCTGTTATTTATAGGAGCAGAAACCCTTACATGCATTACCCATCTCCGGTCGGAGATAATTAATTCAAGAGAGTTATCCTTTTTCATTAAGAAAAAAAAAAAGATAACACATAATGAATTATGGCTATTTTTTTAAAAAAATATTATAGTCTCAAGTCGACCGATCCACCCATTCGCTTGCTAGTGCGTGTGTGGTTTGAAGGTAGTTTAGGTTCTCCCTCTTCCACAAAAGTCAGTAACCCCAAAGGGATTCACTCTTTGGAAAGAGAAACATATCTGAATACACCTTTTGCAAATGATCTCCTACCAATGTGATATATAGTTGTGATAACCAAACAATGCATATATTGTTTGTGCATACATTATAATTATCTTAACTAAACTATCACCAAAATCGAACGACCCCTTTATATAGTTTTTAAAATAAATGTCCTCAAACGAAAGTCAATTCACAAGCTTGCGATATACAATGACGCATCATAATTTATGTTTAAATCAATTATTAATATTAAGGATAATAAGGGTTTGAGTACAAAATCTCTTGCTCAACATACGTATAAGAAAACAGTTTAATGCATATAAACCTCGAATAAAATATATAACTGGAATCTGTAGTCCCTCAATGACCATAGGTAGCTCCACCTTTGGAATTTGTTTGGGTTTGGCTCAAAATCAGAGTCAGGACAAATTTGTTCATGCAAACTGCTTTCTTCTAGGGCTAATTGTTTAGTTCTCATCGAAGAAGTTGGAATCAATCAGTCAAACCAATTATAGGGTTGGGCAAGAGTATAGGCAACTAGCTAATTTGTTTTAGCCAGCTGGTGAAGATGTCCAATCACAATCCAATTTAAATATGATTAAATGATTGAAAATTAGTCTGGATAGTGATTGAGATTAGATAATTAGTTCGTGGAGGCGGCTATGTAGTAGCAAGAGTGTCAAAGGCTCAAAACACCTATTTTTGCAAGAACTTGACTAAACCTCATTTTTTTTTTCCATTGATTAATTCGTAGGTTTAAATCAATTATGAATTTTTAAAAAATTCCTAGTTGTTGTACAATTTTTCCACAATACATTACTGTCAATAAGAATTTACGGTATAGCTATTTTTGGATAAATTATGGAGGCGGACAAATTCTAGATAAAATGTCTCTAGAAGTTCAGGAGTCCGCACAAAATATGGGTGAAAACTGAAAACAATTATGAGTGACCTAACACGTGATTTAGACCCCAGAAGTCAGCTGGTCTACATAAAGTTGACCCAGTTTTGGCACTATTAATGGCAATGGGGAGAGGCGGGGCGGTATCTCAATTCTCATACCCTTCTCGCGCTAAGCGTGAGTCTGGTCGGATAATACTCGTACGAGTACAGAGCGAGTCGACCCATCCTTATATGTTTCTTGAATAAAAAAAAATGTCGATATTTAACTCTTTTACAAGAACACATAGAGAAAAACACTTAAAAACGAATGAGAAATATAGTAGAATGAATAATTGAATCTAAATAGTTGAAAAATAGAGTTAAAAAAAAATTATGATGAAAATATAATTTTAAAAAACTCAAAAGAGGAGAATATATATGAATATTGATGCAAATCATGATGGAATGAGACATGAAGGAGCAAGATACGTTGGAAGCAATATTCATGTCACTCCTCACACTACTACAGGTCGGATAATACACGTCCAAAATAGGTTGGTAAGGTTGAATCGTGCGAATCTGCTCGAAAATTGCCATCACGACCTTCAAAACGCGCAGTTTCAATAAAACGAAAGGAGGAAAAGAGGCCAGTCCTTAAGTTCTTTCCATTTGGGCTTGAAGCTCAAGACTTCAACTACTTTTGTCTGCTTCCTTATCTGGGCCTTGTTTGCGCTGCTTCCTTATCGGGAGGCTTTAGGTAATCCACATTTTTTTTAATATAAAAATCCTTAGCATTTTAAAACGTGTAATCCTGAATGATGTGGATTGTGGAGCATTCAGTTTACATGTGAAGATTAGTAGGAATATATGGTACCCTAATTTTATCAACTATCATAGATTTTTTCATAACTTTATTTTCAAACAATATTAGAAGCATACTATCTCTTCAGTAATTTAACGATATTTACTTATGTCAATTGGTCTACATAAAGTTGACCAAGTTTTGGCACTAATGATGGCAATGGGGAGAGGCGGGGCGGTATCTAAATTCTCATATCCTTCTCGCGCTAAGCATGAGTCTGGTCGGATAATACTCGTGCGAGTACAGAGCGAGTCAACCCATCCTTATATGTTTCTTAAAAAGAATGTCAATATTTAACTCTTTTACAAGAACACATAGAGAAAAATACTTAAAAAATGAATGAGACATATAGTAGAATGAATAATTAAATCTAAATAGTTTTATGATGAATATATAATTTTAGAAAACTCAAAAGAGGAGAATATATATGAATATTGATGAAAGTTATGATGGAATGAGACATGAAGGAGCAAGATACGTTGGAAGCAATACTCATGTCACGCCCCACACTACTACAGATCGGGTAATACCCGTCCCAAATAGGTTGGAATAGGTTGGATCGTGCGAATCTGCTCGAAAATTGCCATCACGACCTACAAAACGCGCAGTTTCAATAAAACTAGAGGAAAAGAGGCCAGGCCTTAAGTTCTTTTCACTTGGGCTTGAAGCCCAAGACTTCAACTACTTTTTTCTGCTTCCTTATCTGGGCCTCGCTAGCGCTGCTTCCTTATCAGGAGGCTTTAGGTAATCCGCATTTTTCTTAATATAAAAATCCTTAGCATTTTAAAACGTTTGATCCTGAATGATGTGGAGCATTCAGATTACATGTGCGGTGCAGATCAATAGCAATATGTGGTACCCTAATTTTACCAACTTTCATAGAATTTTTCATAACTTTATTTTCAAACAATATTAGAAGCATACTATCCCTTCAGTAATTTAACGATATTTACTTATCAATCGATGTTATGATATTTCATTTTGTTATATTTAGAAAAACCTAACCACATTATGTTACGCGAACAAGACTTTTCAAATTCATTGGATGGCTCTAGATCTATGCACTTGAGTCCACGATGGTAAGTGATCGTATCATAATCTATTTACATATTCTAATACATAAAAAAAAATTTCCGTTAATGACATGAAGTTAAATTTCTCACTGAACCCAGAAACCCAATCTACTAAAATTCATTATCAAATTCTACATAGAAACACGAAACTCTTCAAATTCAAACACAAATCCAAAATAGTAAAAATCCAACAGAACCTCTCCTATATAAAATCTGGATTTCCATTCTAACAAACACATAGAGACAGAGCAGAAAACTAAACTTACATGCAAATTGCAAAATACACATAACCAACCATTTCAGCCCACCCACAAGTCATAAACATGGGAAATGGGCACCAAATTATTACAAAGTACTACATTGAATGCCATGAATGCCAACATCCACATTATTTTGTTTAATTTCCTTGGCCCCAGAACATTGAATAGGTGGAGCAGAGTCCCATGATGATGATGATGGAGGATAGGCAGGGGATTGAACGAATCAATCAATCAATCAGCAACTCGATGCCACAGTAGCACGCACGAGCCGACAGTTATTTAAGGTTTGCTGAATTCTACAGCATGGCGATGATCAAGCCAAGAGATAATGTCGCCCACAACCGTGGAGATGACCTCGTCGGTCTCCCCTTCCAGAAGAGAATGGTAAGCATCGCCGTAAAGCCTCAGCTTCTTGTCTTGGCAACTTGCTTTCTCGTACAATGCCTTGCTCACCGACGGATCCGTCACCACATCGGCCTCTCCGTGCAGTATCAGGAGCGGCAGAGCAACCTGAGTCGACGCCGAGTTATAGCATAAAGTAATTGAATTTTTGGGTCGGGAAATAAGTAACAGGGGAGATTAAATTACTTTGTGTAAGCAACGTTCCAGCTCCTGGGTTGTCCGCAGGCACTCCAGCGCCGTCCACAGCCTGGCCGTGTCCTTGTAAGCAATCACATTGTAAGCTGCCTGCAGGAAGCCATTGATTTGTTGTTAATCAGAAGTTACAGTTTTTTTTTTTTTGTGGGTTAGTGGAAGTGAAATCTTGAGGGTAAGGAATTTGACCAGATCTCGCTTCTTGGGGTCTCTGAATGCCATCTTGACAAAGTTCTGGTGTGGGACTATTTTCAGCTTGGGGAAGAGATGAGCTACTCCGATTAGGATCTTGAGCAGTATCCAATTGGGAACCATGTTCTCTGCAAACTTCAAAGCTCAACCCCAAATCGAACAAATGTTACTGATACCGTAGCAGAAAGCGTACAGAAATGAACAATCCAACGAAATCAGCAAGACCAAGAGTTATTTCTATACAACTTATTTTTGTTGTTGTTGACTTACTTTGACCATAGGGGCAACAAGAATGGCACCATCCCAATCATTAGGCTGCTTCAGGTGCACCTTCAGGGCAACAGCTCCTCCCAGTGACTGCCCAAACAAGTAGCTTCGGAGCCCGCGGTGCTCCGGCTTATCTGCCGGACAAAATAGTTACCGTCGATGGATTTAGCTAGCACATTTGCTATGTAAGGAATTTTTAAGTGGTGATTAAAAATGTTCCTTACCTCTGACTTTGGAGAAATGCTCGGCGACGTCGGAGGTGAGCAAGTCGAGGCTGGGGATGTAGCCATGGAGTCCTTGGGAGAGGCCGAAACCCGGGTAGTCGAGAGCGAATACGCCGTACCCGGAGAGCGCTAGCTTCCTGGCGACTCCTTCGAAGACGAAGGTGCAGGTTTCGCCGTAGCCGTGGCAGTAGAAGACGAGTGCTTTTGGTGTGGCAGAGTTTCCCCCTGGAAGCCAGCTTTTGGAGAATATCTCCAGTCCCCTGCTGTTCACTTCAATAGACTGCACAATTTTTTTTCCTTCTGTTATTAATTGTTTCCCATATTTAGCGAATTGGGTAGTTGATTGATTGATGAACTAATTACCTCCTCTATCTTCAGCCCTTCGTACGGGATCTGTGAACCCAAAAGAAACCCCAGAGAGATTCAGAACAGTCTTGTCAATTACAGTGGAAGAACCCAAAAACAGAGAAGAAAACAAAAAAACAGAGAGAGGCAGAGAGAAACAGAGAGAAACAGAGTACCTTCATGAGGCAATGGTCAATCTGGTGCTGAATCTCTTTGAATGCTTCGCGGACGCGCCTTCTCTCGGACACATTGTCCAAGTTAGTGGGAGTATCTGATAGCATATCTGAAAACTCTGAATTGTTCTCTGTCAACTGATCGTCGTCGCCGTAATTGCTCTGCTTTTCTGCTTGCTCTCTGTTTCTGTTGCTGTTATTGCATGTTGAAGATGATGGCAGTTAGTCGTACGGTGTCATTTCTCTTGTCTCCTTCCATTCTTTTGTAAGACTCTAAGCTGCCGCCAGTACCCGCTCTCTGTTTGGTGTGTCTTTACCGTGATTTAGGTCTTTGCCTTTCGATCATATATAGATGTCCTTCTGACAAGGTAACTGTAAAAAATTTGTTAGCTTTCACAGACATGGGAGATGGAGGTGTAAATGGCGTAGGTTGTAAAAGATGGAAGTGGTTGTTGGATGGATCTATCATGGATTGGAGGGAGCAATAATGGGCAGGTCTTTAGAGTTGTTGTCCCCCATACGGATATATTGATTGCACATCAAAGTTATTGGTTTGTGGAAGGTGAATTTTTTCATCCTAGAATAATAGAAAGATTATTTCCCTAAATACAGAATTAATTAAAAATAAGGCAAAATACACTCGCATAGCCACAACTTTCCAGTTTGTGCCAACAATAGCCAAAATTTGAAAAATACAGAGAAATAGCCGCGTTTTTGTAACTTATTTGCACAATCTAGCCATTTCCGTTACATTATTTAACGCCTTTAACCTCTCCGTCAGTTTAGTGGATGGTAAGCTTACGTGGCCGCCACATGTCCTACACCTATTTGCCACGTAGACGAAATATTGCCACCTACTTAACACGTCACTATCTAAATAAAAAAAAAACATTTTCCCTATACAAATCCCTAACCTCACCCTGCCCTGCTGCGAACCCTTTTCTAATTTCCCCTCTTCCCCTCTTCTCGCTAGGTTTCCGACGCCGCCGCTGCTCCGCCTTTTACAACTTCCCCCGACGAAGCTCCTCGACCTCTCCCCCGACGAAGCTCCTCGACCTCTCACCCGACGTCTCTCTCCCCCGACGACAACGCTCCTCTTCTTCGACCTCTTCCCCCGACGACGCCCCTCTTCCTAGCCTCACTCCCCCGACTTCTCTCCCCCCCGACGCCCCTCTTCCTCGCCTCACTCCCCCGACTTCTCTCCCCCCCCCCCCCCCCGACGCCCCTCTTCCTCACCTCTCTCTCCCCAGACGAAACCCTCCCCTCCCTCTTCCTCGTCGACAAAAATTGCAATCATGTCACAGAGGATTGGCAGTGGCAAATCGGTCAAGGTGGGTGATTCGGGTTCAACAAGCGTAACAAATTCAAGGCTCGTCCAGTGCTTGCATAAAAAACCTTGTGTCGTTCAAACCTCCGGAACTGATCTGAATCCAGGCCGGAAATTCTACGGCTGTCCTTATTGGAAGGTAACAGCAGCATATTTGCCCCTCTTCATTTGGTTCGAATCATGTGTGATTTTTACAGATTGTTTGACAATGCAGGATCCGAAGAAGAACTGTGATTATTTTAGATGGGTTGAAACTAATGGTGATGATTTTAACGGACATGACACTGAAGTGGAGGCTACAATTCTCAAGTTGGAAGAGAGTATTAAGCTAGCACAGTGCAAGGCCGAGAGGAGGAAGAAGGAAAAACAACTTGTGGCTGAAGAACTAATCAATGTAATGGCGGTTCACGATGCTCTGTTAGCTGAGACAAGGAGTATCAAATCTGATGTTAAACTGAATAGATATATGTTGACCATTTTATTCGTAGTGAATGTAATGGTGCTTGTAGTCATCTGTAGTATGGAGTAGTAGTAAGACCTGCCAGGTTGTGATTTGTAACACTCGTTCTAAAGCAATGGAAGACTTTGAATGCAAGATCAATGTTATGAGCATTCCTTGAAACCAACATTGATAAAGTGGTACATATTCCTGATTAACACCTAGTTTTGACAGAATCAACAGCTACTTGGACCTAACATTGTACCTAAAGAGCATGTTCTTGATTACACCAAGTGGAAACCAAGTCAATACGATGTTCCTGATTACACCTAAATAACCGATACTAGAGGGGGTCCTGATTACACCTAAATAACCGAGAAGTGGAGGGGGTTACAATCCACTCTCTCACCCCATTACATGAGCCATCCAAAATACAACCCCAGCACCATTACACAAAAAATAGCTCATGTAACAACATTGTCTTCTAAGGCTGAGATGGTGGGGGCTGACTTCCTCCCAACTCCACCACATTTGCTTCGACAGCCCCAACAGCTTGAGATGGACCCGAATCAAAAGCTCTACCACGTGCTCCATTAAGCTGAAATAGACAGTCGAAGGCAATTAAATTGTCGGACGTTGAAAAGGAATACAACAAGCGGTAGAAGTGTTTACAAGTAGAGATCTTATACTAACCCGTACATACTGGTTGCCGGTTCTCTCATCAACGTAAACACCCACCCCAGTAGTTGCAACACGCAACTCCCTTTCTATTGTCCTTCTATCAGCAACATTCAGTCTCACATCCTACATGCATTCATCTAGTTGGTTCAATACCATTGGGCAAAACTCGACATCCATAAGATTTATGTTCAATTACCTGTATCCCATTTGCTCGGTTTAGAGGACAAGTCCTCGCATTGTGGGTAGGTGAGCCACATTTTGAACAATGAGATCCTCTCTTCTGCCCTTGAGTGTTGCCAGCAGCTTGTGGTGCAGTTCGTTTTACTCTAGATCTTGTATTGACCTGCAAGTTCTAATTCATAACAGAATTAGAATGAAAAAACCAAACTCACCAATAATTAGACAATGCAAAAACAAACTCACCATTGGTTGTGCAGCTGCCGGCTCTCTCGCCACTTGTCGGGCAGCAACGGGCTCTCTCGCCACTTGTCGGGCAGCAACGGGCTCTTTGCACGACCTTGCATTGTGGCCCTCCCCACCACATTTGCCGCAATGGATTATGGTACCTTTCTTAGTCAATTCTTGTCCATTTCCTGTCACTCTTGTTTCAAACTCAATTGCTGCCTTTCTTCTATTCTTCTTTGGTCGACCAGGCATGGATCTGCTCTTAGGAGGGTGAACAGGATAGCCTGAAGCCTCAGGCCACGCTTGTCTGCCGTCCAAACAAGGTATTCCATGCTTATATGCTCTGGTTACAGTACTTTTGTGGTAAAAGGGGTGGACGTAATCCTCCACTTCTAGCCTACAATGTGTGATGGCAGAAACGGCATGGCAGCAAGGTAAACCACTTAGAGCCCAATAACCACAAGTGCAGGTGCATCCCAGAAGATCAACAATGTACCCATCAGCTCCCATTTTGATTTCACACTTAGCAAACATGGTCTGTCTGGCAACACATAACCTGGCAAATTCCTTCTCTTTCTCCACACGTTTCCTGATTCTCGGACACAATACATCAGCATACTCGCCCAACATCCTATACTTGATCAATACTCTGTCCATCATATATCCCCTAATGCCTTCCAACATATCTACTATCCGAAACCCCCTGTACTTGACAATGCTTCCGTTCCACGTCTCGCATATATTGCTCTCAACAGAGTCGCATTTCGGGACAATTGACAAGAATGCACGACAGAATGTCTTTGGTTCAGCCGCCATAAAATCAGTATATGGGGTAGTAGCATCACCTGTACCTTCAATGGACTGCATTTCAGAAGTGGCCTTCTTCCACTCCACTTCGTTGCACGCGTATACAGCCCTCCAAAACAGCTTTCGAACTTGATCGGTTTTGTGCTTCGCCTTCCAGTTGGCAAATACATGGCGAGCACACTTACGATGTTCAGCCTCAGGCAATATTTCATGAATGGCATCAACTAAACCCTGCAATAGAACAAATTTATCAGTTTGTACACATGTTATGACAGAATTGGAAACTTAATCGAAGGTACAGAACCACAGTTAGGATACCTTCTGCTGGTCTGATATAACCTCCCTCCTTGTCGGATTACTCCTCAACCACCTAATACTTGCACCGGCTGCAATAGAATGCTCAATTACGGCATCCTTGAACTGCTCCGGACTCTCAAACTTCTGTTTCACCACGAACTGTAGGGATTTGTGGTCACAGTTAGGGTCGTAATGTGGAGCATCATCATAAGGTTCACCACCGTTCTCCTCAGACAAGTTGGGACGCACATGATCAGAATCCTCAGACAACCTATAACTCGAATGATTCGAAGCCTCTGGTCTATCTTGCTCAGGCCGAGATGGATGCTGGTTCGAAAGGGAGGGATTTGTTCCATCATTTCCTGCATCAATCCCTTCTTCCTCCTGATTCACATTCCCTTCATTCACATTGGCTGCCTCATCGCCTCCTTCCTCTTCACTTTCAGAAGACAATTCCTCAAAATCATCTAACTGCTCCACCTCCTCACCATTAGCAAGCTGTCTGGCCTTAACTTTCCTTTTTCTTGACTCTCCATATGCTCTTAAGTTGGCCCTTGCCTCCAAGTATTCATCATCAGAGGTAAGTGCATCATCAGAATCCTCCACGTGGTAGATATCTCGTGCAACAGATGCATTGGCATCATCTTCTTGTGGCAGGTAATCTTCTTCATCAACAGCCCTGTCTGGGTCATTCTCCCCAATCAACTCTTCCCATGAATTTGACATCTGTACACAAATGGGTCAACTAAGTCATTAACTGCTAATTAAAAAACAAAACAACAAATAATAAACAATACACACTGCACAAAGCACAAACAGACAACAAACAACAATAAACAATGTCATTCAGTTCACTACTTCTACTTGAACGAGTTCCTTCACTGTCAATTGACCATTTCATCCACAAGTTTCAGATATTTACCTCACGATTTAAGGGTAGTCTCGTGACAAACAGAAGTTGTGGTCCCTGGAAGTAATTGCAGTGTCGCTTTCTCACCAAACTCAGCCCTATAAAATGCAAACATCTCGAGGTTAATCGACTTTCCCTTCTTCTCACCAAACTCATCCCTATAAACTGAAAACATACCTTATAAGAGGGTGAGAATGAACCAGTCCGACGATTTTCGAGTTTCCCTTCTTCACGAGCTGCCGAATGTGAGCTAGGGTTTCCGCTAGTCGTCTTCTTCGCCGCTGCTGGTAGGGATTGGCCGCCGTTGTCGAAGTCTCTCCCCTCACCCACTCGTACTCGATCTTTAGGCGTATAAAAGAGAATCGGGTCGGCGGCGTTGGTTTTATCCGGCGTTTGGATGCATGTTGGATTTGGGAACAAAGACGCCCAGATGAGAGGAAGTGGAAAGGACTCGCGACAGGCAGCAGTCGGCGGAGGCCGCACCAAATCGTCTCCGTCAACGGTAGTGGGCCGGCGATTGGAAAGAATGGGATCGGAAAAAAGGGGCTGGGTTCGGCGGGTGGAAACTTCTCCTTGGTAGGGTTAGGGATCGACGAAAAGGGGCTGGGCGAAAAGGGGGGGGGGGCTTTTCGGTTTTATATTTTTTAAATAAAAAAAATTAAAAATTCCCATTTCCATCTGGCAACAACTCCCCCGTCGACGTGCCACATCAGCGCGAACCGTTAGCCTAGTCAGCAGTTCTACTTCGTCCGTTAAAGTATTAGACGGATTGGCTATTTCTCTGTATTTTTCAAATTTTGGCTATTGTTGGCACAAACTGGAAAGTTGTGGCTATGGAAGTGTATTTTGCCTAAAAATAATTCTACATGACTTTTATAAAAATTTCCCAAACTACCAAAGTTTGACATGGTTCGAGTTCAATAAACTCGAACTAGTAGATGATCGACTGCCAAGCCATCGATCCACGTGCATCGAGCGAAAGGGCCACGATTGGTTGGCACAGGAAGACACGGATCGAGTTTATTGAACTCGACTTACGTAGATCGAGGACAGAAGACTCGATCAAACTAACCTGGATCAATGACCTAGGCAGCGCTCCACCCTAGATCGAGGTACCAGGAAACGATCTTGGCCGTTCGATGGCCATATTCGCGAAGCAGTGGTGACGCTGATCGAGTGGGGGAAACTCGATGATAGTGGATCGAGTCCGTAGTAATCGATCTACTGGAAGCGGATCGATGACGCCAGACATGCTCTATCGTAGATCGAGTACCCTAAACTCGATCTACTTTCCCTCGAGCTGCTTTTGACGCGTATCGACTGCTCCAAAATCGATGTAGTGGTTCGAGTGTGATAAACTCGATCCACTTCCTCCCACAGAACCTATAAATACCCCCCCCCCTCCATTCCACCAAACCTTACACCACTCCATTCTTCTTCCTCTCTTCCTCCCACCACTCTTGAAGAGAAAAATATGCTCTGTGGTTGCGGCTAAGCCCGATCTTCCACATCAATTTTTTTTTCTTTAGTTCGGTACTTCTATCACTCAAAATTGCCGAGATGGATCCGAGTATTTACGATCCTAGATTATACATTTAAGGCGGACCGCGAGAAACCGATTTGTTGGATGAGCAATCTTACCATCGGTCTGAAAGATTTTGGGCGGCAGATCCGGTAAGTACTTCCTCATGTACTTTTCTTTTTTTAAATGTGATAGTTTTCTTCTATTTTTTTTTATAATAATTAAAGTTTTTTTTTACAGGAACAACTTGACGTAATCACCCATCGGTCGCTATCTCGCTTGCCTAAATGGGATGATCGGATCGAGCAATGGTAGAAAGATGGAGAAAAGAAACGCACACATTCCACCTTCTCGAGAGAGAGATGACGATTAACTTGATCGAGTTGTAAGGCATCGATCTAGTGCAGATATGGATCGAGGCTTCTAAAGTCGTTTAACTTGATCGAGTTGTTTGGCATCGATTTAAGTGGATCGAGTTGTCCAAAGTCGTTCTACTTTGATCGAGTCCTTTGTCGTCGATCTACCTTGATCGATTCTTCCAAAATCGTTCTATAGTTGATCGAGTTTTAAGAACTCGATGTGGTGTTAGTTCGATTTGTCCTTTTATTTGATATATTTTTTTGATTGAAATTATGTGGATTTATTTCGAATATGTGATGTCATTTTAAAAATATATTACATGTTCACCAACATCTAGTTACATTGGAAGAATGAATTAATATTTCTGGTGATTTCAAGGAGAAAAATATTTTAGTTTTTAGTGGACTTGGACACGTAGACTTCCTTCGTAACGTAATCGACATCTCGAGAACAAAGCCCTCGCAGTTCACCCGACATTTAGTTGTTTTTGAAAATGTTTGCTTACACCCATCTCTGAGTAATAGTTTCTCAATTTGACAATGATCCATCCGATCATGATGCGTTTCTGAGATAAATCGGTCGAGTATTGATCACGTATCCATCGATAACGATTTAATCACATGATATTTGATAATTAATATTTTAAGAGTTTTATGAACTCAAACCTTTCGATCGCGTACGTACCCGACATCTCGAGATCAAAGCTCGCGTTGTTCGGTTAACATTAATTTTTAATGTATTGCAATAGGATATCATTTGTATTTGAAAAAGAATTGTCGATTGTTATTTTTTTTTTAATTCAATTTAAAAGAGTTAGTACTTGCTAGTAAAATTTTTATTTACCTCCTGTCCGAGACCAGATGCGACTAATCCCTCCTTCCTTCTTTCTTCCGCAACGACCAGAGCAAGCCAGCAGCGGCGGCTAACAACGGCGCGAGACGAGCGGTGGTGATGGACGGTGCGGCGGCGGCGCGAGGCTATGGCGGCGGCTACGAGATGAGGTCCGGCGATGGCTGTCCCTCCTTCCTCTTTTTTATGTTTTAATTTTATTTTAATTTTTTCTAAATGCAGAATGACATTTCTATTTTGATGATCTTTCTTTTGTATCCGCCACTGGGTTCTAACCTTGCTTGCGTCTTCTGTTAAATAGGGAAATGGAGGACCACTGTACACCCACCTTTCAACTAATTCAGCCAACTCCCATTTCTTTCAATCAATTCTCTGTCCTTCAGATTCGATTTCTCTTCCCTTCCTATTGATTTCTCTTTGCCTTTACAGCTAGCTCAGACCAAAGCATGGAGCTGAGTTGTTTCTCTGTTTTTGCAGGCAACAAATGAGGGGATGGATGGAGGTGGTAGAGGAAGAAAAAGGGTGTGGTTGGGTTGGTCTGGTTCAGCCTGACCGATCAGGTGGGCTATTGCCTATTGGGCCGAATCACGTGGGCTTAGGTCTTTTTTTTTTGTGTGTGTGTGATAGAATAGAAGTCCAAATGTGTAATAGAAATGGTCTGTAGTAGGCTGCTCGTTTATTATTTATTTATGGGCTCAAACTCAAAATGTACGAGTGAAAACGATTGTTAAATCGATGTATTGTTGTGAATGCATGTATAATATGTTTACATGTATAGTTGACTTTGATGCAATTTTAAATACAGCAGTTGGTATGTGTGATTGTGTATATGACACACCAGCTAAAAGTTGAGACAAAACAATCTCAAATAAATTATCTCAACAATCACAGTTAAAAGTTTGTTGAGATATAACAATCACTCATTTTGAGTGATGGTTTCTATCAAATCACAGAAACGATCCATTTATTGATTCTGCTATAAAAAAAAGCGATGCATTCGAAACAATACATGTAAAGCAACAATCTCAACAAAACAATGAAAACTTTTAAACGACCCCTTAAGAATCAAAAAGTTGAATCAAGAAATGTGTACGAGAGCATCTCGTATTTTAAATTAAAATTTGAGCTCTTCGTGAAAAAAAATTCATTCCAAAACCAAAATATTTAATTTTAGAAAACCCGGACGAAAATGGGTATCAAAAGTTGCTCCCTTTTGTATGCTTCTTAGTACAAAAAGCATATAAAGTGTGAGGTACGGTAACTTGGATCCTTTACCCAGTGTGGGTCCTAAACAAAATGTTATTAAGTGAATGGATATAGGCACAAACCTAAGTTTTCGATGCAAGTAAGATGAACATTCGCTCTTTACGGTTCTTTTCACACTTACGGTCAACCTTTAATAATTTTTTATGTTTTCTTTACTTTGTACCAACTTAATTTTTTTTGTTATTTCTAATTAGGTAAGTAGGAGCCCTATGCATTATTACTTTCTTTTCCCTACTGAAACTTTGGCCTATGTAGAGGGGCCACCACATACGAATACCCAACCTTTGAACAACTTCTAACTTACTCAATGTATGCTAATAACAATTTGTTTGTGTAAGGCATCACACCTTGAAATTAATCAAACTATTCAATGGAAAGGTTAATCATTTAGTGCTCCAATCGACCTCCATACCTTCATGTCATATTATATAGAGCTACAAATTTTCGTTGATGTATGCATTAAGATTTGTAAAAGTGACTTGTGAAAGAACCAACCGACCATTACAAAACACACCAAGCATATACAATATATTCATTATACTGATTGATCGACTAGATCCTAGTAATATTTCATCATATTTGTCAACCGGATTCTAGATAATGGTTCACCATATTTGAGACTTTTTCATACACACATAAATCATTTGTGTTATGTGACATAAACTATCACCCAAAATAAATGATTGTTATATCTTATTCTTATCTTTTAATTGAGATTATTATATCTTATCTTTTACTTGATTTGACATATACAATCACACACACCAAACGTTATATTTAATACATTAACACATATATCCATCACAATACAATTTCTAAACTACCCATTAGTGTTTAAAACAAAGTCACTGTTATTATTGCCAACATTCGTAATTATTTAGAATCAGATCGATCTAACCTGAAAGAATAATTGAATATATATTTGGCAGAGGAAATAAAAGATTCGAGACAAAAGGCCACGAGCCTTGCCGTTGGGGTAAGCCATGCAATGGCTCGGCCTCTGTTTTGCTCATTTGCAATGCTGATCCAGCCAACTGATTATATCGTTAAACACTTGAGTTATGGTTTCATCCGGTTCTCCCTCCAGCAGTGAGTGGAAAGCATCCTTGTACAGCTTCAGCGTCTTGTCTGAACTCTTTGCTTTCTCGTACAAAGCTTTACTTACAGATGGGTCCGTCACAATATCAGCCTCCCCATGCAGTATCAACAGAGGCAAAGATACCTGCAATCGACCAAACGAAAACCGACATTTATACCCATTCCTAACAACTGGCATTAGCCACAGGTGCAAGACGAATTGAGCGAGAAAGACAACACGTTACATCTTCAAGTCGTTGTTCTATCTGTTTGGTTGTCTCAAGCATCTCCAAGGCCGTCCTCAACCGTGGTTTGTGCTTGTAAGCAATGACATTGTACGCAGCCTGCAATTTCAGGGTAGGAGGTTTAGCAATCAGCAAATTGTGTAGACTTAAAGAACCACCATCCAAGTTCTGCATAGAAAAGACTCACCAATTCTCTCTTCTTTGGTTCCCTGAATGCTGCCTCGGCTAGATCCTTTTGTGGCACTAACTTGTGCTTCGGAAGAAAATTCGCTATCCCAATCAGGAATTGCTTCACCGCCCAAGGTGGAACCATGTCATCTGCAATCTAGATCCAATGGATTGATTACTAAAGAGTACTGTGTTTTATGCTCTTACAAGAACTATCTTGTTTTATTAAATGTGACAAGAAATGAAACTTCAGTGAAGCATCCATACTTTGCACATTGGTGCAACAAGAATGCCACCACTCCAAGCATTTGGCTGTTTCAAGTGAACCTTCAGAACCACAGCTCCACCCATTGACTGCCCAAACAAGAAGCTCGGGAGGTTCTGAAATTCAGGATCCCCTGCCATCACCAAATGAAACACAGATTCTACATTATTGTCCATGTGGCCTCCAAACAAATACACCTATAATGACAGAAATGAATAAAATTTTCTTTCGAGTATGCTATGTTGGCCCCAATCGAAACTGGCTGTTGGAAGAAAATTATGAAATTTGAAGCATCCAGGCATGAAAATCAAAGATACAGCAAAGCTAATTTGTTAACTGGAGCAGCGAATGTCAGTTCGTCCATTCCAAAAGACATTACTAAGCATTCTAAAGTTCAGAACCTGTTATTAACATTACAAACAGACCTTTGACCTTATTGTAGTGCTCAATAACATCATCGACGATAGTATCAAAGCTTGGAATATAGCCATGAAGACCTTCTGAGAGACCAAATCCAGGGTAATCCATTGCAAAAACACCGTAGCCAGATAAAGCAAACTTCCTCGCAATTCCTGATAAACAACGGAGAAAGAAAATTCAAAACCTCTGGTCTAAGAAATCACCCAAACCACCTATCATTACATCCTGCTTGAGAACAGGCCATTGCTATTACTCACCTTCAAAGAAGAAGGAGCAAGTGTCTCCATAACCATGACAGAAACAGATCATAGCTTTTGGGGTTTCCGGCAGCCACCTCTTCGTGAAAATCTCCACCCCTCTCGAGTTCACCTCGTATGCCTGTGGAAGAGAAGTAAGTAAGTAACTACTTGTCACAAAAGGGCTTAACACCCACACCATTTGCTGACTAGGCACAGTGGCCTAACACATGACCAAATCTTTCTAGCTGTCTGTCCATCTTTATGTATGTAACTATCTATCTATAAAGCATGCGATTGTGTGATGATCCCATACTCCAAAGCTAAAGCAGGCTTATCCAACAACCTGCCATCCCAAAGCATTACCTAAAATGCTGTGACCTTGGATATGCTGTGTAATCAATCAGTCACCAATTCCTCTAGGAGATCAAACTCTCATTTGTTCAAGTCAAACTAATCAAAAGAGGGAAAAGTTGGGAGGTTGGTACGGTCTTCAACATATGATGTACGACCCAATGCACTGAAGAGGACATGAAAGGTGCAGACTTTAATGTTCTACTTCCCCAACCGATAGGGCAGGGGCGACAGTTAGATTGCAATAACTACAATCCCATCCCTTTTTCTCAATTTATATATCCATAAAGCCCAAAATGAGGCAGCAAAGATGCAAACTTTCCTACAAACTTCAAGCAGTAAACATGTGCTGCAAAAATTGCCAATCACATCTCATTACCTCATTGACTTTCAGTCCGTCACTTGGTGTCTGCAACACAGAGAGAGAGAGAGAAAACCAAAATTGACACAAACCCAGAATCAGAATTTCATTTTTGACAATCGGGAATACAAAGGTCAACAACAACTGCAGAATTAACTGTCAATCGACGGCTCAAACGTTCTAAAAAATTAAGGGCGATATGGTTACAGCGAAGTTTCAGATCAGAGGAACTTAAAAAGGGGAGGGCGAAAGGAAAAGGGAACCTTGAACAAGATGTGGTCGACGTTGAGCTGGATATCCTTAAAGGCCTCGCGAGCTCGTCGCCGAGCGGGGACTTCCTCCATATTCGCATTGACGATTCGCCGGAGCTCGGCGTCGATCTCAGGGAACCGCAGCGGGCGCGTCGTCATCTTGCCCCCTTTTGCCGGCGAGCGTGCGTATTGACGCTTCCTTCCTTCCTCCGCCTCCTTCTCTCTAATAATGCTTCTGATGACGCCTTCTTCTGGTGCCTGCTGGACGCCAAGAACGAACACTTGCGTATGAAAAGTTGGTTCCTTTTTCCCGTTTTTAAAATCTGTTTTTTTGAGGCTGACGATCAGGAAAAAGGATATAAAACGAGATGGCTGGACGGGGATGGGAACGCGCGCGCGGACTGGAACAAATCAGCGTGATTCTCAGACCGAATAAAGACATCAATAAGAATATGAATAACATAATTCAGATATGAAAATTGAGAACAGTATAATTATTACTTAATGATAATACCAATCCGGGAGATCTTCAATTGGTATAGGTGATTGACTTTCTAGAAGGAAGAATACTCTCGAGAGACAGAGTTGGGAATCAAGGAAGATAAAATTTGAGACCTACTCAATATTCCACATTCCACAACCTTCTTCGTACTATGTTTTTTTGTTGTTGTTGTCGTCGTGAATTTTAGTTATTTTTTCTTTTAAGATGTGAATTTTAATTCTGTAGATGAAAACATAAGTAAAATTTTCTAACATAATTATAAGTTTTACTAGTTTAGTGCTCGTTAGACCTCGATGTTGTCGCAACCTCACTAGTAGCAGCGAGAGCCTGGGAGGAGAGACCCTTGTGTTGTTCGGTTTTCTTCCCCTTTGATCTGCCTCTCCATATTAGGGGATGAGCAACAAGAAATAGGTATTTGAGTATAATTACACCCATCCCGTTTTTTTAGAGTCATGGGTACCCAAATACCCGTACTATTTATTAACGGATGAGACCTGGGATGGTAAAATGCTTACATTGGGTACCCCTAATACCCATTATGTAGATTTCTTATACAACCCCATTAGCCCAAAGCTCAACTTGCCCAACCCCAGCTCAACCCAACCCGACCCGACAACTTCGCTCTCCTCATATCTCTTGATTCCCTCGGAAGATTGGAAGAAGACCTAATCGCGGTCTCACGACTCACGGAGACGGAAATCAGCCCCGACCCCGACTCGACGACTCCTCTCCTCGATCCGGTGACCTCGACAATCGGCCTTCCCATGTGATTTTTGGATTTCCCCGCTCTCTGCGTTCCCGCTTTCGTGGGGACCTTGTTGTTCTTCTCTTTTTGTTATTGCTCTCGTGTTGGAAAATCTCTAAATCCTCATGGTTGTCTGCAAAACTGGAAAATCTAGACAACTAGGCCTATTTGTGAAGGAAGCCGAAAGTTTGGGTATATAGGGGTAGTTTGGGTACCCGTTATCCGTCCTGTACGGGTAATGAGTACCCATTTACCCATATGGGTTTGTGACATAGAATTGATTTTCCTCTCCAAATGAGAGTATGTACTTGTTTCAAATGGGACGAGTACCCAGTCCAGTCACATTGTCCACCCCTACTCCATATGCTTGTGGCAATCTTTCACTTAAACACAAAATTAGCTAAAAAAGGTAAAAGTTGGTGAAGTTTTGACAATGACCCAGAACCCTATCGGTCGGTCAAATGGTCTGGTTTCTCTAGATTTAACTGAGTGTATCCAGTTTTTATCGATTTTGGGCCAACTGCTAACTGGGTATTTGTCATAAGTTTAGAGCATTGGGTACGGGCCGAAGCGGATTGACCGACCGGTGAGCTCACGGATTGACAACCATGGTATCTATAGTCTAAACTTCGTACCATAGGTTGAACATGTTCATGCAAGATTGATGATACTGTCAAACAATAAGAACCTCAATTTCATTACAAATTAGAGGATTATATTTGCGACCATCTAAACTTTTATTGCCCAATCGTATTGGTGGACCATAAGTAAAAAAAAAACATATAACGAGGATAACCCCAAATAGACCCTACTCAGCAGGTGGGGTCAATCAATTCGGATAATTCTGGTCATCCTCGAGGTCAATCACTCTGGATCATCTTGGAAACCACTCGGGTCACCCTCGACCACCCATGGGATCAATCACCCCACATGATATTTATACATATTTGAGTCCTCAATGCTTTACCGTTTCTCGAATATTTACCCTGAAACAACTATCATTTAATGAACTTTATGCTAGGTTGCTCTCTTTAGATATATTTGAGCTCCTAATGTATAGTGAAGCTTTGAGAGTGAGTTCCAAGGCATTTGGAGGATGAAAAGAAGAAAATGAGAGTCAACACAAAGTCTCACAGTCACTTACCATGAAACTCATGGTTGTGGGAATCAGAAGCACAAACCGTGAATCATTTCTAGAGAGATCTTCAAGATTCAACTCACCTAAGTCCTACGTTTTGGAAAGTCATGGGGGTGAAAACTGAAAAGTAAAGTCTTTTCGTATCACAACCGTGAATCAATTCCAAAGATTGAAAACTGAAAGTCATGGTCATGATTCTGAAAGTCACCGATCATGACTGCCAAAAGTCATGCGGTGAAAAAGTCACGAAGTGAAAAGAAAAGTCTCGCCCCCGTGAGTTTTGCACTACTTGGATTAAGTATCCATTTTTGTGATTTTCAAGAGGGTGAGCCACTTTTGAGAGAGAAAATAGAATAGGCTCAAACAAGAGGTGGAGAGAGAGTGTGAGAACTATGGATCTAGGCGTGTGATTTAGGGATTGAACGAGTTAGGGATTGGGGAGTTTAGGTGAGAAAGAAGGGAATTTGGGGGATGAGAGGAAGAGCAGAATCGGTTCCCGGGTTGGGAGCCGCCGAAGGTGAGAGGGAGAAGAGGGGGGGTCGGCCAAGGTGAGTTGAGAGAGAGAGTTGGGAACAATTTCTGTATTATTGCTTGCCCTTGACCTAACATAACATCACATATATATAACCCGACTAATTACTGTTTACTACCCGAATAATTAACCTAACCGAATGAACCCCCACAATTTCCCTATCCGACAATATCCGAATAATACGAAATAACAAATAGACTCTCAACAATTATGTTTCTCACAATCCATCCCCCTTGAAACCCACCTTGCCCTCAAGGTGGTCCATGGGTCTTGTCATCCTCTTTCTTGTCCTCTCTTTCAACGCCCCGCTCCATTTCCTCGCCTTCATCCTCCCAATTTCCGACTAGCAGCATTAAGTGACTCTTGGCGCACTGGTGGCCCACAGTATACCTCTCATCACAGTTGAAACAACGTCCGTCCCGGCGTTTCTGGTCCATCTCTGCCTGAGTCAGCCTCACGAACCCACGCGGTGGTGCTCTGGCCGGAAATCGAGTCCCGACAGTGGTCCCGGTCGCCGGAGGGCTTGCTGCCGCCGCCGGTGCTCCCGCCCCTGTACCGGCTCCGCCACCTGCTCCACCACTGGCCTTCTGTATCCTGCCCACAGAGGATCTCCAGCTTGCTAGCTCCTCTTCCTTCCGCCCTGCATTTCTAAAAGCCACCCGGAGAGATTCCGGCTCGAAGACCTTGACCGCAGTGACCAGCTCGGGCCTCAGGCCCGCCATGCACAGCCCCACCAGAGTTTCTTCGGTCATCTCCTTGCATTGGTTCCCCAGCTTCAAGAACTCCGCCCTATACTCCGCGACTGACCCGGTCTGCTTAAGCTTGGCCAGTTGCTCCGGTGCCCAGCCTTCTGCCCGGCCGAACTGGTACCGGAGCTCATCCTGGAACCGCGCCCAGGAAATCCTCTCACCCGCTGCTGCGTACGCCCGCTCAGTCCACTCCCACCACTGGAGAGCATCCCCTTCCAAATAGAAGGACGCCAGATGCGCCTTCCTTTCCTCCCTGATCGGATGATTCCTAAACCACCTCTCCGCCGCATACAACCATAATCCCACATCACCAGTGCCGTCAAATTTCGGGAACTCAATAACCGGCGGTTTAGCTCTAAACACCAGTTCATCCTCATAGTCATACAGAGGGTTGATGTACCCGTACCTGTTACCGCCGGATGGCTGCATCGAGTGATCCGACCCGTGACGTCGGTACTCTGGCCCCGCGTTCTGCATCCCTGAGTAGGCCCAGTCGGCCATCTCCTGCTGGTATGCCTCTCCACCCCCGGCCTTCGCGCCGGATCCTTGCCCTTCCTCCAGCCTGCGCCCGGGTCGTGCGCCCTCGGCCCGTGGAGTGCCCCAGGGCGGATAACCAGCCTCGGGGCCCTGTCTTTCGCGCCTAGGCCCTCCTCCTGGCCCGTACCCGCTGCTGCCCATCGGCCCGCGCCCCGGTTCGAACCGGTCCGACCTGGTTCGGCCCCACCAGACTCGGTCCGACCGATTCCGGTCCGACCATAACTGGTCCGACCGACCAACAACCCAACCGGTCGACCGGTTTGGTCCAGCATGGGTTCAGTCACCCAATTCTGATCGGGCCCATCTGGTCCAAGGCCCATCTCCCATTCCTCCTGATCCGCGAAGCTCATCTCCTCATCGTCCGGGCCCAATTCTTCGAACTCCACCACCTTCTTCTGCCTGCGGGCCTCTGCAATGTCTTGGGCCGTCGGAGCAGGAAGCAGGCCTGGCCCACTGAAGACTGGTGCGGACCCAACTCCCCTGCCCGCTCCTCCGGCCGGGATGGCCGCCTCCTCGCCCAACCGGCCCTGACGGCCGCGCCGCCCTCGATCCCCCACCGCCGGCCACCTCGCCCGGCGCCGCGGCCTCCCTGCCGCCTGGCGCCCCTGGCGGCTAACGACTTAGCCGCCGCAGCCGACTGCGCGCCGCCTGCCTCTCCAGCCGCGGCTCCAGCCGAGCCCGCCGCCGTTGCCGCGGCGCTCGCCGCGCCTCCTTCCCCGCCCGCCGCCGCTCCTAGCGGGTCGGTCTCCTTCTTCGCGGCGGCCGTCGCTACAGCCGCTGCCATCTTCTCCACTGCCTCGGGTCGGTTTCCCGGGTTTGGCTCCTTGCCCTGAAAGACGCCGATCAAGACCTCTGTCATGGTGTCAGCCAAAGCCTTGCACAGCTTCTCTGTCATTGTCGTACCCATCTCCTCAATCGAGGAAGTAATCCGCTCCCCCAACGCCTCTAGGGCTACCGTCGAGTCTCGGGAAGCAGCAGCAGCTCGCTCTGTGGATGCCGTTAAGCTCTCCAACGTTGTTACGACCGCGTCGTACTTGTTATGCGTGATGTCTTTCACAGTCACGATCTCCTGGCCCTGTCTCTGCTGTTGCGGTTTGTCCATGTTCGACATCTCAATTCTTGCAGCTCAGTAATCAGCACGCCAGCCAGGCTCTGATACCACTGTGAGAACTACGGATCTA